ATGCTAAACTAAAACTGATGAACTTTATTTTGATATAAAATAAAAATTATTTCTTAATAAAATTATAAATTTTAATAAATAAAATCTAGCCATTACTTTTGTATTATGAATTAAGAAATCATAATTATTATTCAATAAATATAAGATTAAAATGGGAATAAAAAAAGTTGAGTATTATGAATTTTTTTGATAATTCTGTCAGTTACATACATTTCATTTTGAGCTTTCACAATAAATGTGTGAAATAACAAAAAAATTCAACATTTCAACGAATTAATTACTGATCTGTGAGTATTGCAAGTTATTGTTAAATTTAATTAATTAGTAACTGATAATATATATAATAATACTAATGGTAATAATAAACAACCGCCTAACATATAAACGTGCAAGTGCGTGATTAAATCAATTAGTGGTTTATATATTTCATGACAGAGAAGCCGTTCAATTTTTGATAATATTAATTACTAACATATTAAAAGAATGTGACCGCAAACTTTCAAACACAAATATACGCACATTCTCACGTACATACATACAAATATAAAAGAAAAGCCAGAAACCAGTTCCGCGTTATTTTTTAGTCCATTTTTGTCCAACCAAATTTCGATCCATCCTGTCTCTGAGATCCCCATGCTTTTTTGCAACATCTGGTATTAGAATTAATAAATTAATTACGAGCAAAATTGAATAAATAATCATAAAATAATATAATAAGTAATAGTGGTGATAAAAGGTAATAAAGGATAATAATCGAAAACGGAAAGGCGTGTGATCGAATGGATAAGAAATGACGAAAGAATCGGATGAAGAGAAGAAACCTACATAAAAATATAATCATACAAGAAAAATGCTCTAATAAAATGGAAAAAATAAATACAAAAAAAAATAATAATTAAAATATGTAATGCGCCAGCATCACAATATGTCAATTTTAGGTCAAGTCACTTCAATTCCGAAATTCGTCGATGGTCAAGAAGCTTCTTGTTCAACTGGAATAGAACTTTCATTGTTAACTATAACTAAAGAACTCGTTGATGAAGGATATATGCTACTTTCATTACTGCCTTCACTATTTCCATCTCGAATCATATTTGACTGGTTAGAAGTATTGAAATTGTCATGAGTTGCAGCCGCTATGTATCCTCCTTCTGCCACACTAGCCGAAGGCTCATTGCCACTATCAACATGATGCAAATTGTCAGATGAATGAGACCTTTTCAATTTAACAAGTTTCTCACATTTTTTTAGAATGTCTTTAGTTGTCAACGCCTCTAAATTATTAAGTAGATCTTGATCTTGAAGAATAGCACACAAATCCTCCGGGACCTTTAATAGTTGGATTATTAATACAAATATATAATTATATTATATATAAAGCAATGTCTAAGACTCACCGTCCAAAATTCATCTTGATATCGTAAAAGACTATAAACAGCTTCTATAGCCAAAAATGAATCATCTTTTGTTGGATCTTTTGATTTAGAATATAAAATATTCGGAGTAATTACAGTTGCAAGATTACGTAAATCCATTTTACTGCCAGTTTCTTCATCTACATGTGAAAACGATGCTACCCATTTAAAGAATATAAATAATACTTCCATGGTGTCACGATTCTCTTTTGGCATGAGACAACAAGTAAGATGAAGTACTTTTTTACGTGCCTCGAATTCAAGAAGTTCTAATTTTTGGTTTTTATACAATCAATTAATCAATCAATCAATTGTTAAATTGTAATTTAAAATCATTCTGAAATTGTAAATAACACTCACTTTGAGAGGTAATAAAAAGTTTATGAAGCTTAAAAGTGAGTAATGGATCAGGAAGATCACGAAGAAATTTTTTCATTAAAGCAGCGACTTGTACAGGATTATCTTCAGTCAAGTTCACAGACGAGGGATTTTTATCAATCGTGTCGACAAGCTCTTTTAATCGTCTAATGTTACCATTTTTACGGAAAATACCCTCAACAGACATATCTATAATAATTATATAATGAGAAGTTAGACTGAATATCTCTAGCGTATTTTTATAACGAGGATTTTTATAGAAAATTACCCATGGTTTTCATGGCAGCTATGCTTTCATCAACAAAAGATGGTATTTTTATTCGACCAGGGCCTGCACCAAGAACCGAATCTACGCCGTATCTTTCAACAAGTGTGTCTAAAGGTACACCAAATGTACCTATTTGCAAAAGAACAATCCGCATACATCATCTTAATTTATCAATAAAAGAAAATAACAATGTCTATTTGAATCAAAATTTTGTCCACACAAACAATAATTATAAGATACGCTTACCTTTCTTTTTCACGGGTTTTTTCTCGGATGCCTTGATAGTTGTGACAAATTTAGTCCAAAGAGTTGCCTTTTTGGAATCGGAATCAATCAGGTCAAGTAATTCTTCGAGATTATAGTAATCTTTTAGATATTGCTCCATTATAAGAACTGCAACATGTTTAACGATTAAAATTTCTATTGGAGATAATTCAGACAAATAATTTTTTGTTCTTGATAATCGTTTTTGTTTTTTAAGATGTAATTTTTCCGCGGCGGTTTGCCCTTGTGCGGTCGTGGTCATCATCGAAATATTCGCTAAAGTAGCTAAAGTGATAGGCTCATTTTCATTATTTTCAAAATTAATAGTGTCCTCTTCGTGATGATCCTGTGTTTTATCTTCTATGATTTTCACTTGACGTTGCGAAGGTGCTCTTATTAGATTATTATTTCGTGATACATCAAATCCAGAAGGATTCGGTAGAGGACTTGCATCTTGTTCTACGACACGTGATCTTTTTGCGTATTTTGCTGATGTGGATAATTGTCTATCCATATGTACAGATTTCATACGTTTTAGATCACTCATGTTTATTGATTCGAATCCATTGTCTCCACTCGAATATGATTTTGATCGTGAATCTTTACGACCAAGTCCAAGTTCATCTTTACGTCCATGATTAGCCTCATACTCAGAAAAACTCAAATCATCTGATAATTGATTTTTTGATTATTGATGATTGATTATTGATGGAAACATGTGATTGACAATATTCTTAAGAGATATAATTAATTACCTTTACGACGAAGTAAATTATAAAGACGTGATAACGCCACTCGCAATAAATAAGTATATTGACCAAGTTGCGTAACACGTTCAAATCCGGTCGTCGACGGCTCAGTAGCGCAATTTGTACAGAATGCTAACTCCTCCATATTATTAAATCTAGCCTCGGAATAAATTGAACTTAATTCACGCCCACACCCATTCTTGGAACATCGAAGACAACCATTGTGCCAACGATGATGTCCAAATTTGAAGCATTCCTCTTCAACGGTAATTCTACATGCATGACAAAGGTCTGAAGTTACTTCAGCGTCCATATGAGATTCTTGTTGCTGCCGACCATCATTATTCGCTAGTTCAACTAATTTATTCAAGAATTTACTGATTGCTGTTGTATTATTATAATCTCTTTCCTATGTGTGTTACCATTAACAATTTATTATTATATTGATAATGTTTGAGAACAGAATAACGACGATTATTAATTACCAATTTTAGAGCTCCTGTCAGCGCAATTCTAATCAAAACTTTTAAATAATGTGCTAAACCTGTCACTAACGATAATAATTCTTGGGTAATTCCCAGTTGTCTTACACCCGTTTCCTGCGTGTGTGACAATAGTGTAAAGAAGTTTACTATTTTTTTGCAGAGCATTTTTGCTTCTCTATTATGTTGAAGTCCTTGGTGTAATTATAATATGATAGAATCAATATTTCTTTGCATTTCATCAATATAATAAAACTCCCGCAAAGAAAATAACAAATACCTTGTCCACTAGCTTGAGTCAACTGAAATTCTAATTCGTCAATGGCGATAAATAAAATTTCCACGTGCATTATAAACTTCTCAGCCATTTTTACACCATCAATATACGCGCCATTTGAGACATGCAGAAGCATGTCTGAAATGCAAGAAGCAGACGATTCCTCAAATGCAGAAAGAACGGTCCATATATTGTAGACTTTTTCTTCCATAGCTTTTTGCTGTTTTTTCAATTCTTCCGGCGTGTTAGATTCTCTTTCTAATCATATGAGAATATTGGTTAAATAATCATTTTTAAATTTAGATTTAATTTATCATTAAAAGATGTTTACCGAATTTATTATGTGGGTTGTCATCAGAATGAGATGATAATTTTACATTCCAAAACTATTTTCGTACATTTGTGAGTCATTTATGATGCCAAGAATATCATAAATTAGTGATTTGATTTTTCGAATATCAACAAAGAAATATTTATGATAAGAATACAAAATACCTTATGAATCATATAACATTCGGGATGCCAATGCTCATCTATGCTGTTACGATTGATTTCGACAAATTGTTTTAATATAGCAGCCTGACAACCGGTACATTTCACGGCAAATCTTGTTGAATAATGATAATGACAGTAAACTTGTCCGTCATGTTCATAATAAGAATCTTGGGGACCAAACACTGTTGGGCAAACCGAACAGGTGAAATGTTCAATATGATATTTCTTTTCAAGGGCTGTGATATATGAGCCACGAAGAGCACCGCCACACTTTTCACAGATGAGGTTCAACCGACGGAAATAGTCTCTCTCACAAAGAGGGTGCAGTTTACCATCTGCATCGTCTATTGGGAAAAACTTGGCAGCTACTATTTCTCCACAATCCTAGGGGATAGAGAAGAGTAGGGTTATTATTTCAGCTCATTCCAGGATAGCAAAACTTGAGAGGAGGAAGTATAGATTACCTGGCATTTGAAGCAATCCAAATGAAAAGTTCCACCTAACGCTCTTACAAACTGGCCGACTATTACTAGCCCACATTTTGTGCAAGTGGCCAAGTTTTGCTTGTTTGAGTGTCCCGATTCATCTGGTGTGACTTCGTTAGGATCGGGCATTCTTCGAAACTTTGTGAATTTTAACGCTTTAATGAGCTGTATGTGAGAGTGTGTAAAAGTTTGTGTGTATGTAAACGTATATATGTGTAAGTGTAGTCTGTCGTAAACGGTAGTCCGTAGGTCGAAAGTTTAGAGTTAAGCGTTAGACAGCAAGACGAAAGGTACCATTTAACGTGAGGACTACAATAGTGATATTATTTGTTGCGGTGATGGTTAAGAGTGGTATTAATATGACGAAAAAAAGAGGAGAGCGAGTGAACAAAACAACAACAAAAAAAAACAAGAAAGGTGAATGATAGTTGTTCGGTCGTTCAGAAGTTGGTGTTTGTCTTACCCAGGTTGCAAAAAGACAGTAACAGAACACAATCTTGCTTTATTTACTATTTTTAGCGAATCATATAATCCTTTTTAACATTACATGTTCCTAATAATAGACTAACAACTACTCTTGATGATGTCGTTTAGAAATTTTTTGTTGTCGTCGTCCTCGTTTTTGTTGTTGTTGTTGTTGTTAGGGTCGCACTTTTTTTTTGGTCAAATGGGAAAATTTCCTTTATTGCACAATATAATAATAATGATCTAATCTATTAAACCAAGCAAACCGTCGTATTCTCATGACTTTTCGATCGATTTCACGATGAATAAATATTTTGTAACGATAAACGATAAAATATAAATAATATAAAACGAATAATATTTCAAATGTAGTACAAATGGAAGATGTTAAATGACTATTCCTTTGATGTCTATAATGCATTGTCATAGGATTTATGAATTATAATTGATAAGACCAGTTTTTTAGGCGAAAATGCTACAAAGAATCTTGGCTACTGCCAAGCGATCATTAATACAAAAATGGATTAATTATTTTTTCGCTTCAACATAAAAATTCTCGAAACTTTTTAAAATCCGAGATTAACTTGGCATAACATATCGACATATATATACATAGCGATACAACATCAGCAAACAATGTTTGTTTAACTAGATTAAATAAGCTAAGTCATCCTCTGGGTGGACTTTTGATGATATTACTATAAAATCTTATATATTTATCGTTATGTATCACAGATTTACAATAGCTGCTCACAAAATAACCCAATTACCTACAACTAAAAAAACGCAATCATTCAACACGGCACATTCAAAGTCGAATAGAATTAATTCCCTGAAACAACTCGTGAAAAGAGTAAAAAGCATGCCGATTCAAGAGTACGGGGACCTTATTAATATAGTGCTTGAAAGAGGTGTGAATAAATATGATGTTGAACTCAGACAATTAAATCCAGAAAAGTCAGACAAGTCAGCAAATTCAGACGGGTTACGATATAGAAAGACCAGACATGCGGTATGTCCCGTCATTCAAATCACGTTTGGGGGGGGAGGGGAACTTTTTGTCTTGTTGAGAAGTGGGAAGGAAAGAAAAACGCAATATTTCATTAATGGAATTAATACTTGATTTTTTTTTACAGTCAAGTACGAATCCTTATTGCATTACGTTGATTGATCCGATATCTGATGTAGCTTTGGTTGAGATACAAGCTCAAAAGAGTAGTTCTAAAATGAAGCAAATATTATTGTTTCAGGTAAATTAAAATTATCATCTTTGTGTTTACTTAAGAATCAAGAGATCTATTCTCATCCATCACCTCTTTTCTTTTCATATTAAATAACGGTAAATAAAAATATAGCCAGATGAAGAGATTCCATTCGAGAATACGGGAAAAATAAACTTCGAATATAAATTCACCTGGGAGAATGAAGAATACTATTGGCAAAAACGCGGGGGACTATTTTCAAAAGACCTTGAATGTAAAATGGTTCATGACCCCGATCCAAGTATTGGGATTGCGCTCTACCAACAGAAGTCAAATACGTTGGGTATTGTCACATTAATGTACTGGAACATGGACAGAATCCCGGTGAATGATAAGCGCGGATTGGAGTGTGTGCTTTGTATCACTTTGCTCTCCTTTTTAGATGAATGGGATGATAAATTGTTGAATAAATCTATGAGTTTAGTCAAAGGCCAGGATAAAGTGAACCTGACATATGAACCTCAACCTAATATTAAATATCCGACTAAAAAGAAAAAGGATAAACCGCAAGAAAAACAAGAGCATTATATAGAACACGGAGTAATTTCCCCGTATCCAATAACCCCAAATACTGAGCTTGAACAACAACGATATGATGAAGAACTTGCCAAACAGTATTCAGAAGAAGAGCAAATTTTATTAGCAAGACAAAAACAAGAAAAAGAAGATGAAGAATTTGCAAGAAGATTGGAAGAAGAAGAAAAGAATTTAGCTAATAGTAATAATAGTAATAATAATAATAATAATAATAGTAGACCAAATTCAGTTGATCATCCACAACCTCAATCAACACCTCCACCTCCGCCACCACGTCCTAATTCTTTCTATCCTAACACGTCTCCTCATCTTCAAAATCAGCATCCACCACCTCCTTCTCCATCTCCATCACCATCATTGAATACGACTATATCTTCTTACTCATCCAATTCTAATTCATCTTATATTGTATCGCCAACTAACTCCTCATATTCAACAGCATCTACCACATTTACTCAGCCACCTTTGTCACCATCCCATCAACATCCGAATCCTTTACCAGTTCCACCTTATGCTCAGCCACAACAACAATATCATCAACAGCAGCCGTTTTATTATAATCAACCAACGATTGCAAATCAAGTTTTACCACCTCAAGTTGCTGCTCCTTATAACCCTCAATCTTCGTCGATTCAGATGCAAATGCCAATGCCAATGCCATCTCAAGCTCAACAATCTCCAGCCATTAACTCTCAACAACAATATCCCCCTATTTATGCACATGGTAATTATACTCCCTATGATCCAAATAGTCAACATCAACAATTAATTCATCAGCAGCAGCAGCAAGCGACACCACTACCACCATTGCCACAACAATTTCCACCACCTCAAACCTCCCAATATCCTCCTAATAATTATGGAGGCTGGTCATAGAGAACTTTTTTGGATTAGAATATTCATTTCTTTCGACATTAGTCGCATATGTATTTATTTATTTGTTTGCTCTTTCTTATCTGGACTATTTGAAATTTATAAATAAAAAAAAATATATTTATATATCGTAAAATTAAATGTCATTCCTAATGTAGAACCAACATAAGCTCATGAATTCTAAAAGCTCATCCAGTTTATCAATCATAATCAAACGCGATGTAACTGATTTTGAATTTTACAATTTCAATAAAATTGGAATAATATCTTGAAAATTATCTTTATTCTCATTACTTTGATAATGTGGTCTCAAATAACAAAAAAATTAAAATAATGAACAATAAATATATTCGTTTTTCAATTTTCATTCAGTCTGTTTATTTCTTTATCGCCAATCTCTCTTTCCAATACTACTCTTTTTACTAAACAAGTGTTTTGGCCGCTTCACTTGAATACTTCGATCAGCTTCGCCAGCTTTAGCATGTTGATTTGGACGTCGTTGTGCAAATTTTCGATACTTTGCTGTTTGTTTTTGCTATTAAAAGTAAATTTTTTTTAATTATTAATTACGCATATATGATAAACTGAATTACGTAAAATATACATATGAATTCACTTACTTGACCAATAGTCAATCCTGCAACGCTCCGATCACGGGTGACGGACAAACCAAGCCTTCTACTCTTGAGATCACTAGGAGAACGATCAATGTCCATATGATCGGAATCTCCGTCATCATCCCGTTTCCTTTTACGCGTTAGACTACGAGCACGCACTGCACTTGTATCAAGTCCGAGTTTGCCCAATTGTTCTTCCATTTCCTCAATAGACTAATATTAAAAAATTATTAGATTTGTCGTCAAGTTCGTTCGAAACTTATATCACTTACTTTTGTCTTTACAGTCCTCGGCAAAATTGGACGATTCTTCATCATCTTTTTAGACCTATGTGCTTGAATAATAGATTTCTTTTTCTCTCGTATCTCAGTAGCCAAATTTCTTAATGCTTCATCTTCCGAATCAACCTAAAAAAGAGAAATGAACTTTCTTTTTTTCTACATCATCAGAATCATAAAGAAAGAAAACAAGCACAACATACGATTTCTTCAACTGAGTCGTAAACTCCTTCATTTTCTAATCTTTCTTCTTCTCGTTCAAGAAGATCCAATTTTTCTTGAATGTCAGGATCAATAAAATCTGCGATATTTTTACCGTCGATAATTTCTGGTATTGAGTCATATTTCCATTCAGGATCCTTAACTATATATAATTCTATTTTATCAAGTCAAATAATAACAAAGTGTTAGTTTTTCTTATTCTAAAAAGTCATAATCCTTTTCTTCGTATTTATTATTTATATACTTACTATTAAGGTCTACGCTATATACCCCTGGTCCACCATTTTCAACCTCTAAATCTCTCTCTAATTTCCGTCTATTTGGATCATTAATATTAAATAATGAACGTCCTTTAACCTCTTCAGGAATGATTGGTGGTCGTGCGACATTATCTCTTGCTTGAGGTTCAGCAAGATGGATTTTATTAATGACGTCGTTTATCTTTTGACCCTTTAATTTAACCTCCACGCGAGCAGCCAACAATTTTTCACATGCCTTGATTTAATTAATTTAAATGAATTTAATAGAATATTCTAATTTATGATGATAAAATAATATAATATTGACTCACAATATTTCGAGCATCCATCACCCCCTCGTCTGTGTGACAGCTCAGCTGGATAATTTGAGCACCATCTTTTTCCGTAATTTCTTTTAGCATGTCTTGCTGCTCAACAGGCAAATTTTCAGGACGTACAATATCGATTTTATTTATGACGATAAAGGTTGGTTTATTGGTGAACAGAGGCTTGATATTATGGTAGAGCTTTATCTGGTAAAAGTCATTAATCTATTAATCAGCGCAAATTGAAAAAAAATTCTAAAGGTCAAATAGCAAGCTTACTTGATCTTCAACGCTATATCCGCAATGTTCCGACAGATCCATAAAAAACAAAATGCAAGCACGTAAATGCGCGAGTGCAGTAACAGATTGCATTTCTATAGTATTCATTTGCTCCAACGGATGATCTAAAATACCAGGAGTATCAATAACCTAATAATATCATTATTATTGATAATAAGAGAATAATATCTTTTGAAAAAAAAGGTGTCACGATTTGTTCTTAATCCCACCTGCCATCTAAGATATTTATAATCCATATGTCCGACAAATAAAGACTTTGTGGTAAAAGCATATGGTTGTACATCAACATCGGCTCTTGTCACTTTGTTCATGAAACTAGATTTTCCTACATTCGGATAACCACAGACTAACAGAGTCCGAGTATTAGGATCAATCGAGGGCAGACGAGATAAATGTTGTCGAACTTGTTCAAGGTATGCCAGACTATCTTTCTGACGTTTCATGATAGTCGCCATTCTAATTAACATTATCAAGCATTTTTAGTATATTCATCGACACATATATAATCTAAATAAGTATTATATGTATTTTAAAGACCAAAAAACCTGCCAAGCGCTGCTTTCTTTAATTGTTTGCAACGATACAATGAATCGCCAAATTTCAGTAATCGGACATATTCTTTTGCAACTTGATCAATTAAATGACGAGCTGTATTAATTTGACCTAAAGCAAGCTTATAATGATCTTTATCGTATAATACATTCATCAAGTCAGCGTAAAATGGATGAATATCCTAGATTTATACAAGGTTTTCAAAGATCAGGTAAATTCACGCCGAAAATTTCGATTGAATATAAAGTACTCGTTGAAATTTTTTTTTACTTGATCAAGTGCATGAAAGCAAGTAAAAATTCCGAGCAAAAGAGAAATTCATACATCGAGTTTCGGAAATTCTTCCAACATTGCTTTCAACTTCTCTTCAAAGGTGTCCTGCGTAAATTTAACTTTACGCATATAAAATTGTCTTATCCTTCCAATTTTATAGCTTTTATGAATGACAGTCGGTGTTTTTCGTTGTGTCCTTGACAGGACAATGTCCAAAAAGTCATTTGCCGCTGGGACCGGCTGGATACGTTTGAAGTTGTATAATGCCATTCTTTTGATCAAAATAGACTAAAAAAATTTTTTAAAATAAATAAAAAAAACGTGATGTTAATCTATTTTTGGCATATTATTTTCGATTTCCTAACTTGTTATGAATCATGGAGGAAGCGTCTCGAGCGCGAAAGGAGCGGCTTGCCGCACTAAAAAAACGGAAACTTGAAGCTTCAAACATAAGAGCAGATAGTAACGAGGGTGAGTTAAATGACGAAGGAGGTGAAAAGCAAGTATAATTTACATAGTAAAGGATATCACTGTACATGACTTTTTAATAATTAAAATTTATAATTTATCTATAAAAGGCCACTTTTACGTTTTCGTAATTATACACCTATAAATGAGGAAATAAAGGAGCATTCAAAGATAAATATTGCTACATCCATGGATGTAGATGAAACTGTGGAAAAACAAGTAGAAAAATTAACTCGGGAAGTTGCAGCGGAAGAAGAAGCCAAAAGGACCGAAGAAGTCGTACGTGTTTATATTTAATTATTAGGACTTTTTAATAGAATAATAATAAATCGTTTCATTTATAGGATTTATTCAATTTAGCTCCCAGAAAACCAAACTGGGATCTAAGACGAGATGTAGAAAAGAAATTAGCCAGATTGGATAAAAAGACGCAAGTGGCAATTGCACAATTAATTAGTAAGCTATTAAAAAGTAATAGGAGAATCTATGACATGTCTTTCTGATTTAGAACTGCTTTCTTTAATAAAGGGATGAGACTACAAGGTGAGACCGACGCGAAAACGGATCTTGCTGATGCAGTTAATTCTCAGGATAATCAACGTCAGCAGCAAGCTGGTGATGACTCGGAAGATGATGACGATTCGGGATAATATTTTATAATTTAATAAACTCAAGTTGAAAAATATTTCCCTTTCTATGCTCTGAAATTATCGTAAAACTTTTATTCTTATCAAAATTCATCGATTGTATTTTCATAAACAAGATAACCAGTTCCTAATGAAGTTATTTTATTTTTAAATGTGCTTACATGATGTTATTTATTAAAACAAATAATTTTTTATTAATAATGCTATATTTGTATTTATATACTACATTAATTAAAAAAACCAATATTGATAATACTATAATAAATAATAATGATGAAGAATGATGATGATGACGACGATAACAAATGTGAGATTGAAGTCAGAGTATTTCTACTCTTTCTCTTTCTTATTCTTTGGATTTTCCGGTCTATAAAGATTAAGACCCATTAAGAACTGATATTTGTTCATTAAAACACCGCAGAAAACCTAAAGCTTACGATTCTTTCCAACGTTGCGCGACTAATTTGAATGCATCTTTATGGTTCACGGTTGGATTTTCGGCTTTAACTTTGACTAGTTCGCTTTTCATGAATTTATTATATTGGGTGAGTTTTTTGGCTAATTTTTAATATAATGAGGTTAGAGAGAAATAATACAACTTTTTGAGGTTGAATTGTAACCTAAAGTGACAAGCAATGAGAAAGAGTTAAACCTCCTGAGGATCTTTTTGTAGTCTTCTCTTTTGGCATTATTAATATTATTGATTGTTCGTATATGAAAATAAAGATAAATCAACGAGATAAAGTGTATTATAAGTAACGTACTTTTTGATAGATTATAAATAAGGTGTAGTTTCGAAATGTAGCATATAAAATTGAAAAGAAAAAGCTTTCCGCCGAACTTTCTCTCTTTTTATAAGTTCTTTATTGTTTTGATGATACGTTAAATTGGCACATTCAAAAAAAAAACAGGAAAACGCGTCAATTTGTTTTAGTTATGATCTGTCGCGTTTTATAAACGTGAGAAACATTTTTTCATGGGACTTCCTATATGTATCCATGTTCATTACGGATGGATTGAATTAGTCAATCATAATCAACTAATGGCAAGGCCCGGAGAAAAAATCCCCACGACACCATTTATATTTCTATAAAATTTTTTTTCCCGATTAAATTTTAACGTTAACGTTACCCGGTTTGTATTTATTTCTATATATGGAAATCAATTATTATTGGTTGATTCTTAATCATGTGATATTATTTAATATAATTGTCAAATGCTAGCTTGAAGCTACATATAGCTGTTTTCCCAGTTCTAAACGTAATAACCCTAACGTTAAGCCACTGATTAGTGTTAGTATATTAGATCACATCGCGCAGCACATCTTCCCATCGAAAACAAACAAACGAACAAGAAAATGGCGACTGTTAAGGAAGTTGGAGAGAGAGTTGGAAGAATTGAAGACTGCATTGCGGAAGTTTGAAGAGGGTGCAACGCAGGGGAAGCTGTTGGAGACGCTGAGGGAGAGACTGGGGATGGGAGAAGACCTAAACGCGGCGCAGCAACAGGTGTGGGATGAACTCACGGCGGAGAAGACCTGGGAGAAACGCTACGTGCTGCAACTACTCATCCAGGTAACGATTTTGCGACTCGGGTGTTGTAGTGTTTATAGGGTAGAGTAGACATAGTAATATGGGCTGTAATATAGCTTTTTTTTGATCGATTTCCGTGTTTGTTGCATAATCTGACTTCATACACGTACATCTCTTTGTTAGACATAGTAATATGCTTCTCTATTGAGTAAACTTCAAATTGCTTTACCCATGCAAATGCTCGAGACTCTAATTTTACGGCTTTATTATTAGTTCAATCAGTGTTATTTGGAGGTACGAAACGCACACATGAGGAAGCCGCAGAGCTTATTGTCATTTCAAAAAGTCGCCTAAACGGAATCTATGAAAATTGGCGAACATATAATATCAACCTTTTGCGCAGCCCTCCGTCCCCAGGGAAGACGACACTAGCTAAAGTACTCGAAAGACGTCTCAAAAGGCCAAGATTGCACAGTCAAATACATCACGTTTGTTCACTTTATCTTTTAATTATCAAATATATATATGAATAAGTTATATAAATAATAAATAGATATATTAATTAAATAAATAGATATATATATTATATATTATATTTCTTTTTGAATAGTCCATAATAATTAATAATATTAAGCAAGCTTTAAAATACAAAGACCATCAGGCTGATATATATATATTCAAGTTATTTTTGTGTTATGATATTTATAACTTGAATCTTTTTTATTATTTCTTAAATATATTTAACTCTATTGATAAGATTTTCTATTTGTAATTCATACTGATAAATAGTATTGTGATATGAACTTTTAGTAGAATATTAATTAGTTATATATTATTAGTTACTTCATATTATAATATGATTGGATGAATAACTACTTATATCATATTAAATATTAGCTTTAAAGAATATTATTAGTAGATATTTTTAGAAAATTTTGTAAATATAATAATTATAGCAAAATTATTATAGCAAAATTAGCAAAACTATCATAGCAAAACTAATAATGCTATTATAACAAAATCAATATTATGATACCAACTAAAGTGATATTTAGATTATAGCAAAACTAGCATAAGTATCATAACAAAAGTATTATTTGTATAATCTCTAAAATATATAAAAGTAATATATCTTAGCTAGTGAAATTAAGTAATCCATTAATTAGTAAATTAGTTTAGTTTGAGTTCTATAAGTTTAGTTTTCAATTTATATTTAAGTAGAATATAGTTAAAAAGAATTCTAAAAAATATTTCTTGTAGAATAGATCTTGATTAAGATTTATTATTTCATCTTATTAATAAACTAATTATTATATCTGTCTTGAAATTATACTTTAGAATTGGATTATATTCTAGCTAGTTACATTAAAAATATTATTATTACCTATCTTTAAATAAATCTTAACAAATCTTAGTATAGTAATATTTATATTCTTGTTAATAAACTTTTAAAAACTCTTCTAATCTTACTATAAAGTATGTAATTACTTTTATTATGTATTTTTAATATATTAGAATTAATACTTATTCTTTATATAATCTTTCACATTTAAAAGATAATAACTTTTTGATATTCTTTCTGTGAAAAATAATTTCAAAATGATCATCTAATTTAACTCAGATTTAGATAAAAAATCCTCTATAGATTAAATTAAAATTAGTAAAGAATCAAAGTAACTAAAAAAATAATCTTGTAACATATTAAAATAGATTCAACTAGAGAAATTAAAGTAGAAAGAGAAAGACTCTTTACTTAATTATTTACTAAATTATATCTTAAAGATTATACTAATTCTGATCATCAAATCATCTGAAAAAATTTTACTATTTTTATCAAGAAGTAATATATAATGAAGTTTAAATCAAGATAAAAAAGATTTTGCAATCTTAATTAAAGATAAAATTGATCTATTAACAGAACAAGTGCAAACTTATCTCTATCAATTATAACAAGATATATTTGAGTTCAAGAATAAAAAAAGTAAATATTTAATAGAATAAATAAGAAAGTAATAAAATCTACTTGTAGAAATATCTAATCTGAATTAGTCAAAATCAAATAAAGAATTACTAGATATCTTACAATAGTTTGGAAAATCTAATTCAAATATTCTTAAACAAATATTAATATAGTCATCACTTAATAAATATTTAGAAATACAATTAATTATTCAAGATATACCTGTTATTTTAATATTTATTTCATTAATACTATTTGAAGAAGAAAAAGAAATAAATAAAGATAAGAAAAATAAAATATCATCTTTATCAACTATTGATCATAAATTTGAAGACTTAATGAATAGAATTAAAATACTTGCTATAACTCTAGAAAGATTAAAGAAAGCTAATTATATTAAAATTGTAAAATTTTATAATGATACTTAAGATCTAATTAGTTGACTGTAAGACTTTAAAAATATTTACATTGCTAATGATATTAGTAATAAAAGAAAAATTCAGATAGCAAGAACTTATCTGAAAGATTCTGCTATCATATAATTTACTAATAAAAAACTATATTATTCAAAATAGTCAGGAAGCTGAGTATATGATGAAAATATTAATCAATAAACTAAAGAAACATTATTTATATATTAGTTTAAAAAGTATTTCAGAAATTATAACTAGTGATAGGAGTCACAACTAGTCACAATTCTGTCATAATTCTCTGATTGACTATTATAACTCTATTATAATTCTCTAATTGGCTACTGCAAGTTACAACTAGTTGAGGAATCATCTTTAATCATAACTAATTATGAATGATAATAACAGTTAAAATAAAGAAGATAATTACCTGATAAAAGTATAGAATAATATATTATAACTATTAGAAAACTAATCAAAAGAATAAATCTAATCAATACCTATTCAGATCACTTATATATATCTTATTTTATAAATAGGCTTAGATTAAAAATTAAATTCTTTATAAATCCAACTCATCCTGCAATATTAGAAAAAGTAATTAATATAGTAATAGCTTATAGTTCTAACTTTTAACAATATAATACTATATCAAATGGCTTATCTTTCTTGTCAACACAATCTGTAGATATTGAAATTAGTAAATTAACAAAATAAATTAAAAGTATTATTTCAAAACTAGAAAAGCTAGTAACTTCTAATCAGTCTAATAATTACTCTAATAATTAGAAATAATTCTATTAAATATAATAATTATGAAAAATTTGATCATATTATAAATGAATACAGAAACAGAAGAAATAATAATTATAATAATAATAATAATAACTTTAATAATAATAATAATTTTAATAATAATTTTAATAATAATAGCTTTAATAATAATAATTCAAGAAATTCTATTATCTGCTATAATTATAAAAATACTAGTTATATTATTAATAGATATACTAGTTTAAGAAAGAATAATAATAGTTAGGATAATAATAACTATAATAATAATAATAATAGAAGAAATAATAATAATAATAATAATAATAAATAGAATACTTATTTAAATATTAAAGAGTATTTAAATTCTTAAATATATCTTTAGAAGGTGAGAGTATATTTACAACTAAAAAATCTTTAATTAATAATAATTAACTTAAGAAGTTATTATTAGAAAATGAAAAAGAAAATTAACAGAATTAATAAATATCTGTAAATATTATGTATATGAATAGGCTTATCAATAATCAGTCTTGCAAAATAATAATTGTTAGTCATGCTATAAGTAATATAATCACTTAATAATTTTTAAAGAAGATAGATTGAAAAATTTAAAAATCTAGTACAATTAATTTGATTGATATTAATAGTCAGAAAGAAAAAAATACTATAAATATAATAAAGATAATTGATATTATAAATAGATAAAAATAATATCAAAATTATTCTATCAAAATAGTAAAGAAAAAAATTCTGATAAAACAAACCTAATATCAGAATAAAAATAATAATTAGATGAATTATTAGATGAATATCAAGATCTATTTGATAAAAAGTCTGAAAAACTATAATTATTTAATATAAAATTAATACAGAGATTGAAAAACTAATAGTTCTAAAATTATATTATAGATATTCATCTATTAAAAAAGAATTTATAAAAAAGAAATTGAGAAAATGCTTTAACAAAATATTATCTTGTCATCAGATAGTTTATGATTTATATTTATAATAAT